CATATATATATATATATATATATATATATATATATATATATATATATATATATATGTATATATATGAAAATCTTTGGTCCTCAAATCTTTTTGTACATTTCTCTAGTTCTCTTCATTTCTATCAAAAACCAGGCCTTAAACAAAACAAGTACATGTATCAGATCTTGACAGCATCCCATTAAGTGATTACCTGATGCTTCTTCACGCCAGTAAAGTCAGTAGTTTTTAATGGATTAGCCAGCAGAGTAATAAAATAAATTTTAATTGATTATGCTGGTGGTTTGTCATTGCCTCAGTCTTTGATATGCCAGAAAGTAGCTGATGTCAGAGCAGACATTCAAGTTAAAGTGACTGACATTGTGGCTTTTCAACTGAAATAGGGTGACAGTTTTGGCAGCAAAGGCTTACTGAAGGAATTAGAAAGTGTTGCTCATTTTAACTGATTGAAGTATTTATCATCCCACTTGTTTTAATTTGATTATTCCAGGTGAACAGAAATCATAATCAAGCATTATTTGCTTTGTTCAACTTATCAGCAATTTAAAAGTAAATATTTTTCAATTACATTGTTTATTTTTTTGCTTATTTTTCCTTTTTGCTCTTTTATCCTGCCTCCCTCTTTTCCACAGGCAGAATTTAGCACTGGAGTAGAAACAGTCTCGCTCTTCCATGCTTCATCATCTGTGGTTTGTGTCAGACCCAGACAGTCATCAGGAAAGGTCAAAGCTTTGGTAAAAGATTTAAATCAACCCAAAGAAGAAAACATTACCCTGACAGACTGAGGCTGAAAACTGGTAAATAAGAAAGCAAGCATAGACTCATTCCTCATCACTTAAATCAAGGACAAACAGGGTATTGTATTTCAAAGTGCGGGCGCTGTGTGCCGTCTTAATATGATTGTATGATTATTTCAGAAAGCACACAAGGAACCCTGTTCCTTTTCTCCCTCTCTTCAGATCTATTAATTGTGTTTTTCTCTCTGAATCTTGACATAGCTGCCAGCAGCAACATATTTCTAAATAAAACCTGACAGGGTGAGTGTGGAAAAATAAACTGCTGGCTCACTTTTGGCAGTGGAAGAAATTGACATATGAGGTTGTTCTTTGATACAGCTCTGAGCTGTTTTGTATTCATTCAGTTGCTTTAGCTTCTAGTGGACCGTTTACCTTTTTTTTTTCCTTTTTGTATTTGTCTTCTTATTATATTAATGCTCTTGCCACACCTTCTGATGAATGCAAGAAGTGAAGCATGTATTCAGCTTGTTTTGTAGGACAAAATAGGATCTTTGAAAAAAAAAAAAAATCCTCTTTAGTGTTTATTAATGTACTTAAAAAGATGAATGTGAAAAAGAAACGCACACAGCAAGGCCTATGCATCATAATATATTAGCTTACAGAAGTAAAGAATAATGAAACTATTTTAAGCTATAAAGCCATGCTTGAATAATATGTTTGCTGCAAAATGCGACAAAGCATGAACTATTACTAGGTGGTTACTTTTTATAATGTTTTTGGAAAAGACATCCATAAATATTTGTTGGGTTTTTGCTCTTTAGTTTATAAAAATAGTCATAGTTTAGCATTTTTTCCTGTTTTTGTGTAGATGTCTCTTTTGTTTTGTAAATAATCACTTAAGATCAGGCATTTGCTAAATCTGAGTCCCAGTCCCGTAAGTGAAAAATATCAAGGCTATATATATGTGCTTGGAAACTCATTAGCTATAAAGGGCAGTAAAATAACACTGGATTTCATTAATATTAAATATTCTACATTATTATTATGATTGTGTCCCACTTAATTCACTCACCAGTGATGTTGCAGAAGCCACATTATCTGCTTTTCTTGAAACTCTTGGGTTTTCTTTTTCCAACTGTGGCTTTTATCTGACAAAAATATGCTGATCCACATGGCTTTAACTAGGTTAAGAAAGCTACTGCGAAGTTCTGATAAAAAGCCACCTAATATGTGAGATTTAATTGCTTTTAACATGTATGTTTGTATGTCTGACTTAATGCCTTGCCCCTACTGGCAATGGTTTATATTTCCAGCAGAAAGCCAAAACTAGCACATGTATTTTATGTTTTGATGTCAAAAGCAGTTCTATCTAACTCTGTGCTGACAAAACTTATAAGTGTGGTCGACTTCCTCAAAATGTAATGTCTCGTGTTTCCTCTGCTTTCTGTGTAAATCTATTAACAAAGCAATATTCTGGACTGGTGTTAAACCTTGTGATCCAAGTAGGAGCTCACAAGTCAGAGTAAAACTAACACTTGATTATTTATAGCCATGTCAAATCTATTTTTTTGTTTGTACTATTTTGTGTCTCTGAAGGACAGTCCCACACTAGTCAACAGTGAACTGTGAACAGCTTACTGAGTATCCATCGTAAAAACCTTTCTTCATGTAGACAACCACTTGAGGACGTGAGAATGTGGGAGTCTTTATGGTTTTCGTAAATAGAGCAATAGAGCATCTGCTCTACTGCTGTACATTGTAACCCCTCCTCATTTAACTCTCTTTGTATGCATAAATACGCGAGTCTGAATGAGGATTAGTCAGTGACAATCATTTGCAGCTTAGGCAGAGAGATGTTAACTGTAGCTGGAAAAGGAGAACAAAGCAGCATGCTTTTGGACAACTTAGTGGCTCGCCATGGCATCTCCTACTTGTTGAGAAGTGAGAGAACAATTCATTTATTCAAGTCACTTTCCAGATGTCTCCAATAAGAAAGATTATTGAATACATGACGCAGTGAGACCAGAGAAAGAAGCAGCCAACTTTCTTTCTTTGCAGTGAACATTGTTTTTATTTATTTAAATGTTTTGAGATTCTTATTCTTTACTGGTCTTTATTGAACAGTACATTGACAGTAAATAGGGTTGAGAGAAAAGGGGAGGACGTGTCGTAAATGGCCTGAGACAGAGAATCGAACCCAGGACAACCGCTTCGAGGACTGTAGCCTCTGCAGACTTTACTAACCGAAGCACCCGATGCCCTGTGATTGTCATTTTAATGGGTTTACTTAGCTTATTTGGAAGAACTGCTTATATTAATATGCATGACCTATAATACAGATATCCAAGCCAAGCTCACAAATAGGCCATTTTTAAAAACATTTTTTTTTTTTTTTTTTTCAAAGCACAGCTGCACAGCTTGCTGGGTAACATTGTGGGTCTTGCTGGCATAAAATCACAGACAGTACATCATTAACAGGAAACGGGAGTTAAATTTAATCAGACTCTGTTAGAGATGACTTTAAGACATTATTGTTACCCAAGTATCAGACTGTTCCATCCATTTATGTGGATATGTGTTTCTGCTGTTGAGTAGTTGAATGTTCTGTTGTTGATCCAGATGTAACTGGGGTTTATGTTAGGCACTGAAAAACCTACTTGGATCACAGTTGGCAGCTCAAACTCACAAGTTTGCTATCTTGTCTACTTGGTCTAAATAAAGAAATGTCATAAATGTATGTATAAGTTTAAGCTGTAGGCAACAGACTGAATCAGGCCTTAGTTATATATCCGTGTGTTATTAGGTAACACGCTCTACTGTACATGTACCTATGAATTTACATGAGCGGGTTTCACTGTTCCCCTTTGGCAAAATAAACTAACTACTGCTGTTATGGATACCGACTATTAATAGCCTCTGTCCCAAATGAAATTTTACCAGACATCATCTTCAACACGCTGTGATCCTGACTTTTCTTCAGATATATGTTTGAACTGTGTATGGTATAGACTTTAGAAGCCTGCTGTTTAAAAACAGCAACTTTAACTTGTATAACTGTGTGTGCATTGTAAATGGGAGCTGCATCAGTTTTCACATTATAGTTGTACATTAGCATTGCAGGGATTTATGCAATGAGTTCTGTAAATTGCTTCTCCTGGGAACAAACAGGTGAAGGCAAACGGAGGTAAACAGCCTCCATCCAGAGGTAAACGCTGTGTGTCCCACAATGCCTGCAGTTTAATGCACACGTATAATGGGCAGGTACATAGTTCATTATGGCTAAATTCCTCTGCTGCAGATTTCAAACAGAAAATCACATCGTTGTGTTTGCAATTAAAGATAAACATAGTCATGGCATCTGCATCTTATTCACAATCTTGTTATACACTGAAATGTCATTATTTTTTGGTTGCATATTAATTACTACTTTGTTCTTGTTTTTTTTTTTGCACAGGCCTTCCCATGCATTTCCACAGGCATCTATGGTAAGCTTTAAATGTTCCTCAAAATGATTTATTCCCTTTGCATGTTGTACATATATTTTTCTCACATAACTTTGCAAAGACTCTTGTTTCAGTATGAATTATAGCTATCATTTTCAACTAAAAACTTTTTTTTTATCATATACAAGGAAACGCAGTGTAGAAGAAGGTTAACAAATTAAAGACACATGGCTTTTGTCCTCTCATGTGGCTAAAGCGAATGTGCTGGAAGGCATCCCTGGAAATGAGGAGGTTCATTGCACTTAAACAAAGTCACTTGCAAAAAGTCACAGAAGAAAACTTTACAGCTGTTGAGATAAACTGAATTAGGAGTTCTTTGTCTTAACAAAGTTGGATACAAGAAAATTAGTTGTTGCTATTTAGTGAAATTTTAATTTCCCCTGTGGATAGGATTTCTTTTTTTCTTGTCATCATGCAGTTTATTATTTGCATTGAATTAGCATACAGCTTCAATAATATCAGCAGGAGCCAAATGTTTATGGATTAATTAACATGCTAATCTTCCTTGTCTGTAACTGACAATAAGTCAGCTCTATTGTAGTTCAAGTAGACGGTGACAACTTCTGTAAAATTGAGCACAATTTTTGAAAAAAAAAGAAAAAAGTTAGTCGAAAACAATATTTCTGAGCACAAACAATTAGTAAAAAAAAACAACTGAAAAATTTAAGAATCTTAAGTCCAATTATTTTAAAAAATATATGAACTCTGTGTTAAAAACCCTGCAGTGCTAACAATACATTAATTTTCTTACAGCTGGAATATGCACATATTTCACCAAAGCTTGATTTAATTTAGCAAGCGGCATCTTTTACTACTGTCGCATAATGTGACATTAAAATAGAAATAATTATTGAAACCACAGTTGGCACAATTATTGATTCCTCTATCTTTTTTAAAATAGATGCTACTGAAACATTCCTCATACTTTATTTATTAAGCTGATCAGAGTTTGTTAGAATTTCCAATTAGCAATTAATGAATTTCTCTGCGTTTCTCTGGGGTACAAAAGAGACGTGACACAGTCCAATTTCTTCGAGCCACTGGCAACAAGGCTGAACATTAACACAAGTTTGCCTTCCCCCCACTCAGAGTGAGGAAAATAGCAAGAAGGGTAAAAAAAAAACAACAACAAACAAAAGAACTACCAAACTCACTTTTAGAATTCATGCAAGTCTCCATGTCAGTTATTGTATAATATTTACATGTCAATTGGTTGTTTGGGAAGCATGCCATGATGTTTTTTTTTTTTTTTTTTTTTTTTTTTTTGCCCACCTTTTAAAAAAAAATAAAATAAGCGTGCTGATTTTACTCAAACCTAGACAGATATTCAGTTGAAACTGTGTGGCTAAACAAAATGTAAATTGAACTTTTTAGCCACAAACACTTCATGTGTGTGAGGAGTGAAGAAAAATAATAAACATGTGGAAAACCAATAACTTACTCTACATGGTGATGGATTTATGATGCTGTGGGCCTTTTTCTTGGGAACCATAGTAAAGCGTGAGGTTTCATTAATGTTGAAATATTAGGAGATTTTAAATAAACACTGAAGAAAGGATGACTGTTGAGCCAAATCAAGAAGTGGGTCACCTCTGGGTCATTTAACAAAATGGTGATCCAAATTATATATCCAGAAGAAAGACTGTGCAAACAGCAATGGTCATAGATCCCCCCTCTCTGTAAGCTCATTTAATATTAATTTAGAGCATATTTTTCCTGTAATTTTTGTGCGAGATAATGGTATTTTAAATATCTTTACAGGGAGTGGGGTTGCAATAAATGTGACTGGCGCTATTTGTACTTCCAAACAATGCACTCCCTTCAATTTGAAGGACAAATTCTAATTAATAATATCAATTAATAAACAGGAACATTTAACCATGGAATTATCTATGTTGCAAAATAAAAAAGCAATGCTTACATATACAGATAGACACATGCATTATAATGCAGCTATTTGTCCAAAACTGGAATCACTCACAAAGGTCCAGTAAAGGGGCCTGGGTCCACAGACAGTCTACATCTGTTTGTTTTCTCCTAATATTCATTATAAAAAGATGCAATTTCCAACCAAAGCCATCACCTTTCCTCCTTTATTAAATTGGCACTATAACTAACCAGCAGCTGTCACTGAGAGACACCGAATTACTAAACGCAGAGGAGCACTGATTGCACAGCCTGACAGACTTTGGCAGTGCTCATTAAACCGGCTGAAACTTCCCTGAATGTTAATGGCTACAAAATGTTCACGCATCCTCATGCAGTGCTAAATTTTCTTATTAGTATAGAGCAGTGTGTGTTGTAAAACATGCTTATGAATTACCAGATGTTTATACCTGTATTACCTTCAGAGTTAATACTTTCTTCTGTGTTTGCTTTTTTTGTGTGTGCAATTTCCTTTTGTCGCACTGCACAACATACCTTTTTTTTTTTTTTTTTAGTTTTTATTTATGAGCACATCTGAAAATGTTATTACTGAACACCTAAGGATATAATCACTTCATCTTTCTAGCTGCTTCTCTTTTTTTTTTTTTGTTTGTTCTGTTTTTGTTATACAACTTTGGTGTTAGTGACAGATTCCATACATTGTACAACAGATCCTCATTAATTTTATCCTATGATGGATGTTATGAAATACCAAAGAGTTGCTTACACACATTCTGCGGTGGGAACACAAAGGCTGTCCTAGAGCGCACGCGACAAAGAGAGCTGTAGTTTGCTGTGTATTCTGCTGCTGCTGACTAGGCCACAACTTATTGCTGTTTATTGTTGTACTGTGTGCTGCTTCACCAGTGGGAGCCTGTCGTAGCACTCCACCAGGAGCGCCCTAACATCAAAGAATAGTGTCTGCAGAGCCAAGCATGCAGTAGTGGGGAGGAATTAAACAGCCTGTTCAATAAATAAACAGCTTAGCGCTTCCCATAACTGCATCTTCACAGAACAATACAGCTGATTAAGACTAAAGATCCTCACACAGCAGAGGGCAAATAGAGGAGGGACTTTGAAAGTAACTTGAGCATACGGCTTTGCAGCCTCTGTGATGTTGTTCTCTGACTCCTCGCTGTGCCCCCAGAGTGCTGCTGTGCTCTGAGAGAGGCCTTGCTCTCTTGTCAGGAGGTTTGGCATTTTCTGTACATTTTAGATAACCTTTAAGGTCAGCTAACATTTCAACAACGTAAACAAAAGCCTTTTGGAGTGTGAGTCACATCTTCCTCATGTCTTTCCTCCTGTGTTCTTTCTTTTTTTATCTGCCTCTGTGGTATGCACGTCTTTGGCTGTAAATCGAGTGACAACTGATTAGGTTAGGCAACAATCCATTGAAATCTGCAGTCATCCGTTGTTTGAAACTTAGAAGAAACTCTATATTAAATTGATGAGGCTTTGTTTTGTGTTTTTAATAGTAAGTTCAAAGCTGTTTGAAGAAAAATAGCTTATCCAAAATGGCTGACTGTCTGTAATCGTAAGTTACATGTTGTCACCAGCAGCCAGTATCTGGAAATGCTCTCTTCTGATTGGACCTTTCACTTACAACGGTTATTTTTTTTGCCAGATCACATTAATTTACCATCATGATATTATTATGTGGGAGTCTTATAAGAAGAGACATATTAAAGACTTTAAGGATAATGGAGATCTACAACAGTACATGTAAACTGTAAAGTTCAATATTAATTGACAATGTGTCACAATTTCAATGTCAACATACTTTTCAGTGGAATAGATTGATGACCTTTGTGGAACTGAAAATAAGTCTGTTTAAAAAAAAATACATATTACGACCTCACTTCTGATTATTAGATCAGTATCTTTTAAAGTCTTCTTTCTTGGAAGACCGTTTTTCTAAGGAGAAACACTGAACCGTAGGATCGGTGATGATCAAAACCTACCTGATTCAATACTACTCTTTCCAGATTTGGTTGTCTGGCACAATATCCTTTGGCAGACCAAACAACTGCCCAGAAACCTGACCATTTCTTAAGCTGAGAGAGATGGAGGTGAAGAACTGCAAGCTTGTTTACAAAAACAGTCATAGATGTAAAATATTCTGTGAACGTGAGCCCTGCTACCAGGAAAAGCAATTAATCGCTATGTTCATCCTCCTCTTGGGCCCTAAAACCACTAACGTCGTCTTCTTCCTTGTTGGACTTGAACACTCAGAATTCGCTGCACACTTTCTCAGTTTCTCTTTCACTGTTGCTCTCAATGTCACTTTTGTCTCGAGGCAAATTCACCCTTAAGGTTGTGCTGTCCTCTTCAACACACAGCAGTCCAGCCTTTGAAAACCCATTGGTAAAAATCTGTTTATTAGCCATATTGTCATTTAAGCCGCAGTATTCAAAAGGGGTAAAAAAAAAAAAAAAAAAAAAAAAGAAAGTTGTGGCTTATAGTCTGAAAGTTATGTTAGATTATGAGCACCGTTAGCGGAAAACATTGAAGACAGAAAAAAAACACAGGAGATGATGTCTGAGAGATTGTTGTAACATGTGAAGGTAATGTCAAACAACTCCCATGGAAAGTCCAACACTTGAAGTTTTATTCATTATTGGAGGAATTAATGCCGTCAAATGTCAAAATCGCTCCTGATGAGGAAAGGGGGCAGCAGGGTAAAAAAAAAAAAAAAAAACTTACATTCAGCATCATATCTAAGACATTGGTATAATATTTCCCACATTGCAATAGATTTTAGCTTATTGTCTATTACTAGGATTTGAGAGAAAAAAATGTACATGGTAATTTGACGCAAGTTATTTACATACACATTTGTGGTTATATTCACCATATTTACAATAGAGTCACATTGACCCAATTGCACTCATAAATGTGCACACATTCCTGCACAATACGTAGATCAGTAGGTAATTTGGGTTTAATTGTCTTACCTCGGGGACACATTGAGACGTAGCTGGATAGAGATGAAATCAAACCCGCAGCCATCCAGTCGCAAGAGGAGGATTCTTATTGTTGAGCCACAGACCAAGAAA